TTAATGTACATTTGGTGAAATTCCAACATTTCTAGAATAGTGTATTCTACGCTTGTTTGCAATGCTTTTTGGTGTTTGGTTTCAATGCACTTAGGCATATTTATGCCCTTTGGAATGTCTATTTATGTCTACACATCTGAGTTATAATTAGTGACTTTAGGATGTGTGTTAATATCAGAGTCGTCATCTTCCCTCCTTGCTCCTCTTTACTCAATACTTTTTTTTTTCTCACTTGTTTATATTTCCTTATAAAGTTTAATACCAACTTGTCTGGTATATAAAATAGAGTCATATTTTTATTGCTCTCCATAAAGATTATAAGTTAACTTAGGGAGCATTGATATCTTTATTGCATTGAGTCATCCCTTTTAGGGATATTGTATCCCATCTTCCTTAGGCAGTAACTTTTAACATCAGATTTCTTAAATGATATTTTTAGACATTTCATGAGTAGATAGATGCAAGGTGTTATTGGTAGCTTTGTATATTCTTAGTGTGGGAGATGAACTAAAAGCTTCTGGCTGTGAGTATATTGTTTACTCTCTATACTTAATACTAGGAGGAAGAAAGTAGAGGTGAGTAGTGGTAAAGCTATTTGAGAGCACAGTACTCCCTGGTTTGCCACATCAATATCTTTCCTCCTATTTCCTTCTACACACACACACACACACGAGAGAGAGAGAGAGAGAGAGAGAGAGAGAGAGAGAGAGAGAAGCATGTGCTTTTTAATCTGTACCTAGGAGAAGTGACACAAGAATCTAAGGATCTTCTGGCTAACTCTCTGTTTCCCAAATAAACCTGAATCACATGTGATAAAGATGAGTTTTTAAATTCATTACTCCAAATAGACACAAATCTAATAATAAAAAAGTTATGTCCTAGGGAGTCAAAAGCACTGATGAAAAAACCCCTGATGAGTGATGGTAATTTTCCTGGTTGTCTGTACTTAAGATGTCTCCTGGCCTCCCCTCTGCACCAGGCTAGCTCCCATTCTTCCTTTAGTTCTCTGTTTGCCTGAGACTCATTCAGATATCCTGATATGCCTTCCAGAACATTCTTAGTTCCACCATCATAACATTAACCATTATTTATTGAGAATTTCAATGACCTGCATCTTCTATATTATCCCCTTGGGGGATGCTTATTAAAGGAAATTTGAAGGAATAAGTAAATAGAAGGTCTATCTAGAACCATTATTTTTTTAAAAAAAAACTAACATTATTTTCATTTCTAAGTCATATTTTAGATAAGTTCAAAGAAGAGAAAAATACTTATTTTACAGCATTTGAAAGAAACGCAAAGAAAGATTAAAAGGCAAATTTTCAATGAATGGCTATAGCCTTGAGTACCATTTCCTTATCTGAAGAAACTAACCCATATGGACCTTATATATATAGTTTTCCTGATATAACCAATGTTAGATTAAAAATATAGGAATGTTACTTCAGCTATTCATATATATATATATAATACTATTAAAGTCAAATATTGTATCCAATGCCCATCCAGGTACTGAAAAGGTAATCTGTACATTAAACAGAAATACAAAGTTAGAATTTAAGTAGCAGCTAGCTAGTACATCCTTAAGAGACTATGGGAGTAACCACTGACAATGGCAATGAGGAAAAGCTTTAAGATGGTAAAATCTTTTTTTTTTTTATTGATTGTTCAAAACATTACAGAGCTCATGATATATCATCTTTCATACATTTGACTCAATTGGGTTTTGAACTCCCATTTTTACCCCAAATACAGATTGCAGAATCACATCTGTTACATACTCACATTTTTACATAATGGCATATTAGTGACTGTTGTATTCTGCTACCTTTCCTATCCCCTACCATCCCCCCTCCCCTCCCTTCCCCTCCCATCTTCCCTCTCTACCTCCTCTGCTGTTGTTCAATTCTCTCCCTTTTTCCCCTCCCCCTTGCCCCTCATAACCTCATAATTTTGTGTATCATTGAAGGTCTCCTACCATTTCTATATGCTTTCCCTTCTCTCTCCCTTTCTCTCCCCCCATTCGTCTTTGTTTACTGTTAGTCTTTTCCTCAGGCTCTTCCTTCCTGTTCTGTTCTTAGTGGCTCTTGAATATCCTTGTTAGACTACAAAAGCCAGAATACAATGCAAGTTTTTACCAAAGTCCTTTAGAAATCACATCCAATTGCAAGCCCAGATGATACACATGGAGCCGCAGGATTTCTTGTTTGCCCTCCTGAGTTTTGGTCTTGGTTTGACCCCATCCTTCCCTGATACTCTCCTATTCCTCCTATTCCTCCCATTCCTCTATTTGGAATGGGAATGTTGTATATCCTGTGCGATTACACTTCAAGTTCCTCAAATTCCCTCCCCTCACCTTCTTCCATCCTCTTTGTGGAGAGCATCTTAGCTCTTCCATGCCCTCCCTGTCATGATCTGCCTCACCATAGACCCCAAAACAAGAGAGTCAAGTGACTAAAGACTGAAACCAACCATGAGCCCAAATAAATCTTTCTTCCTTTTAAGTTGTTTATGCCAGGTATTTTGTCACAGTGATGAAAAGCTGACTAACAAAATTGTAAAAACTGATTGATTGACTTGGAGATCTTTTATAGAAAAAGTAATCCATCCACATCTCAAATTGACTTTTTATATTTACCAGTGAATTAATATAAATTTAATGCTAGAATGAATAATGTTCAATCTCCTATTTTCTGTCCTTAGGAATACCAGAACAGTTTGTAAATGATTACATACTGCTTCTATCACCATTAGAGTGATTGCAAATCTTAAAGGACTTGGAAATCTACGTATTCCACATAGTTTCTAGAAATAAGTATTTTTGAAAAGAGAACCATAAACTCAAACACTGTGTTCCTCTATACTTACACACATTATTTTTCATTTGTATATGTAAATAAATTATAGTATTGTTTGCAGCAATTGAGTTTTTCCTGAACATAGCTCTTATTCTATTATAATGCTTGAATGATTCACATGCAATGTTTCCAATCTACTTTTCCTGGCTTATGAAACTTTTTAACGAAATGTTAGCATTTGCAGGCACCAGATGTTTTGACATAAGGAGAAGCAATATGTAAATTTTAATCCATGCTAGGAACAATAGCCTGAAGGCACCTTTTTCTTATTATGTGAATCATATATTTAACCACAATGTGGTCGATCCTTTCTAAATCATCACCATTGAAAACATTGTACTCTTGTCTTATGGTTGCCAATTAATGAAACTTATATCTACCTAAAATGATGGGTACCCATTATGTAACCAATAAGTTTTATTGAACCCTTCAGGTGATAACAACAACAATAACAATAACAACCTCCTTGAAACAGGTTTTACTCTTCCTTTTGGTGGTCAATAAAATTATTGCTTGTCTTACATTTTAATACTATAGAGCTGCAGATATCACATATTTTAGCAAATAAATACTAAAGTGCATTACAGCTTTCTTCATCTTTTTGACTTAAGGTAAGTTTTATGTGTGTGTGTGTGTGTGTGTGTGTGTGCGCGCGCGCGCGCACATTCCCAATAGAAGAGTTTGAAGATAGCTTAAAATGTTTCTTACCTGAATAATCTAATAAAGAATAACATAAAATAGCATTTTATATGTGTAACCTTTAGCAATATAGAGAGATTCGAAAATTTTTCAATAAGCTCTATCAGGTAAACACATCATACATATACATATGCATACAACACCTGTCAAATATAAAATTAATTCAGTCATCCATTTTTTACTCTTTAAAGTGTTAAAAAATAATAATTAGTCTTCTTCTATATTAGTTTGGGTATTCTTTCCATACATAAATTATTATATTGATCAGTATTTGGGGCATTGATAGTCTTTTGCAATATCTATTTATGTAGCGTTAATTTTCAAAAAACCAATGAGCCTATGTTTAGACATAGAATATCTTTCTTTATAGTTAACTCAGGAAGCAGTTCTGTGTCATTATATTTGAAACAGAAATATTTAAAAGAAATCCATAAGCATGGTATAAAATACTAGAAAGTGTTAACACAGCTAAAATTCTTATTAATTTCATTACCGAGGGATAGTTCTAGTTAACACTAATTAGCAGTTTTAAAAGTTTTGCATATTAGAATACAGTGTCCTATATGTCTTAGATTTTCTGTGAAACATCTTGTATATTGAAAGGTATTTCAGAATTCCTTAGTGATTTGCCTGCTACTGTTATTCCTGTTAGCAATTTTGCAACATCCTGATAAATATTGTCCATAAATCAAAGCCATAACATCATGAAGAAACAGATGGCAGGAGACCACATTGAGTGTAACAATTTCTTTCAATAATAGGGAAATATTGCATCATAGTTTTCAGCCTGGACTCTGTAGTAAGCAGTTATCACTTGTGAAGTCTCATGGCTGTTAACTATCCTTTTTAATGATTAACCCACATTCTATTTTCCAGTGCAGTCTATATATGGAGGCAGAACAAAAAGTATATTAAAACCTTTAATAATTATAGTCTTTCATTTAATATGTGCAAAGAAAATATTGGTGCATTTTAAAAGTACTTGTACAAAGATTCATGTATGTATTAAAATACACCAATGTTCTTCATTTTCTTAGAAAATAAGACATATTACTTTGTTATTAAAAATGAAAAATAGCAATAATTACAAAGTCTACAGTCTTATTACATTAACATTGTTTTCCTGATCTAACCAATGTTAGATTAAAATTATAGGAATGTTACTTCAGCTATTCATATATATAAAATGCTATTAAAGTCAAATATTTTTAACTACATTGTTATTATTAAGATTAAATAGCTGAATTAATTTTAGCCTACCATGCCATAAGCAACTGCTATGCTGCTAGACAAGATTCTTGAACTTACTTTGCTTTTAAACTTTAGTAAATTATATTTTAAAGGAAAATGCAATGTGTAACTTATTGATTTTATAATTCTTTCAGAAGAATAACAGTCTACCCTTTGTTTTGTACATTTTATTTGTTATGTAAAACAACACACTTTAAATAATACAAACAAAATTTATTTCTCTGGAAAAAACAGAATTTTGAAATAAAAAGGTAGTGCAGGAATAGGAGAGGTAGTTATGCAGACACAAAAGTCTTTAATTTTATTCTTTAATCCTGTTGTATAATGTAAGAAAAAAAGACATTTTATAGAGGATTTTATCAGCAGAAGACAACAGAAATCATTTGATCATATAGCAATACACACACAAATCCCTTACAAGAAGATAAAAAGTTCCCTTTTATGTATAAAGCTGTAGGTAGCAGTATTTTATCCTCAAATTGGTGTGATAGTGGAAGAGGTTTTTTAAAATTAAAATGTTTTCTGAGACTCTCTTATACACTCAAGTTATCTATGAAGCTCACAGGGAAATGCGTGGCACAGACAACTTTAAGGAAGTCTGATTTTCTTTCCCAATTTTTGAATAGTTTCCTTGATATGGAATTAAAAATCTTATAAGAACTAAAATACTATGTGTAGAATTGATATAAGACAAAAGCTTAATTTGTTTTTCCCCCTTTAACTTGTTTTATGAATAATAATGGCAGGAGGGTCATATGACACATTAGATCATCAGCACACCTAATGATTTTAGTATTTATTAAATAAATATACTGAAATCCCTTTACACACAGTGTATAGAAACTCAAATTGGCTTCTTCTACTTATTGACATTCAGATTACTGGAGGGACAAAGGTCGTGATCCATGTAGCATATACAGGCAAGCCATTATCAATATGGAACCAAAATTCAACACTTCAGGTGTTTTCAAGAAACTCAGGTGATTAATCTAATGCTGATTACACAGTGAAAGGATTAATTGATTCCAGTTTTATCCACATAATAGATATCAAAAGATCAGTAAATACCATCATTATAGAAAATGTTAAAGAATTTATTCCAATTCCTGTCTTCTATTTTGATATATGTAATAGATTATTATTAATTACACTCACCAAGATATGAATGTTAGGTGTTGATTAAAAATCTATTGGAAAATTTAGTTGAGACATTTATGTATTTAAATCCCACAATGCCAGAAAAACAAAAGTATTTTACCGATACCTTGAAGCACAAGAAAATTCCAATATGACTCAGTCAACCCAAATAGAAGAAAAATATATCTTCTTTTAATTTTTGAAATTTAACTTCTTTGATAATGAGATAAATGAGAACATTAAACCAAAAAAATTATTTGTGTCTATTTCTTTAAAATAAGAGCTATTAGGTGTTTTATATACAGTTATGTGAGTGGGGAAAATAGATTTTTAAAAGGAGGGGAGCTACTTCTCAATGTTATTAGCTCATCTCACTATTTATTATTCTCAAAAAATTTTAACCTATATTAAGAAAGCTATAGTCACTGATATGAATGAAAACTGAGGAAATATTGTTGGTATATATGTCCTAAAATTCATATAGAAAAGTTGAAGAGAAAAAACTAAATGGAAAAATTATAAACAGATATATCTACTCATAGGAAATCCCCAAGATATTTGGGGATTAGAAAAAGCTGCATAATGAGAATACACTAAAGGGTATCCAACATTTTATCATAAATAGAAAAAAGATTTGGCTGGACATTATTTTGAAAATATAGCTAAAGATAAAATTATTTAATATTATTTTACTAAGATAAGAAAATCTTAATTACAATTATGCATTAATTCTTTGAATGAACAAGGCCTAGTTAATTATTAAGAGTCCTGTGATAAAGTGATATTTTTATGAACAAGTTGCTTGATAAACAATTTGCCTCTTTTGCTGTTATGAGAAGTCTCATTACTGCAAAAGTATTCTAGATATTTATCAGTTTTCATAAGAGTCTCTCTTGATTCTTAGATACTCAAATTATTTGCTTTTTAATTCTCATTATTTTTACTTTGAAATGTATATTCATCATTTCCAAATGTTATGGTTGGATGTGTACAGCATCTAATAATGATAGAGAACAGCTCCACAAATATGTAACATACATATAATATGTAATATAATTTGTTGAGTAGGGAGGGGATATTTGAAATTGGACTATTTTAAAAAGGAACAAATTAATTAGCAAATAATCTAGTATTTGGTACAAATTTACCGTGCTATGCAGCTTCAATACCATTACAACTGAATAATAATATTAAGATAAGTAATGTTCCCTGCTCCCTCATTATGTATGACAATAACTACACACCTGTCTCTTGATAAATAGTTAAGTAGGTCTCAATGAATTTACAGAAATGGTGCAGATATTTTTTTTATCTGGGATTTAAGAAGACATTCAGGAGGTTCCTAAAACCTTCTGAAGCATGCAATTTATTGTCCTATATTGACAATATAAAGATCTCGATTTTCTCTGGGGAGATCGTATACATCTTCTACTAGATTCTGAAGGGATTCATATCACGAAAAATTTAAAACTACTGTATAATTAATTTTTAGCCTATTTCCATTGACAGGCACAGTAACACTCTTCACCTTGACTTTAAAAATCCATTATCCATTTTACAATTCCCTGATATCTATCTCATAATTAGAACAGAGCAGCAAATACTAGTCCCATCTTCGGATCTCTTGTCAACAGGCTCTACTATTCTGTGCCAAGTCCTTATGTCAGCCCAGATATGAGACATAGGGTCAAGGACAAGCAGAACTTCAAATGAATGGAAAATGATGTCATAACAGCATCATCAGGTCAAGCCATCTTAGAATATGAAGAAAGGAGAACTGTGAGTAGAAGAACAGAAACCAACTTCCCTACAATGGTGTGCTTTCCATTGATTCCAAAGCTATAATTTGTCTATAATTTGCAAAGTTGAATGAATTATCAACTCAGATAATAAAGTAGACTTTGCTATATAGCTCTACATATTCAATAGCCTCTTCAAAATTTATGGAGAAACTATCTAATTGTTCTCTTTCACAAAGAAAAGTTTCAATAAACTAAGCTACCTGCTTTTAATGACTGTTCTGAGAAATTAATACTTATTTTTCCACATCAATTAAAATTATTTTAATTCTTCAAAATAGGAGCTATTGTTGTAAACTAAGCATGAGGTAATCATTCTACCACAGGATTTCATATTTCCCCACGTATATCAGTGTTAAAAATCTTAAATTTTGTGATGACATATTTCCATGTGAAAAAATAAGACACTTTCAAAAATTTATCTCAAAGTTTAATATTCTTGATAGATTATGTCTTAGTAAGATTAGCAATATATATTTTAATTTTTGGTTGCTCACTCCTACTAAAAACTTCCATTGCTACATTATCATTTTATTCTCATTTTCAAGGACCCCCACAACCTGTTGCCAATTTCTTTTTCCAGAACTCTCCAACTGCATGTTAATAGAATGCCCAGATCCATTAATGAATGTGTCATGAAGGTACCTCTACAATATAATCCTTATTTTTATTATTTGGTTGATATTATTTCCATATACCACCTCTCTTTCATCCAACTTATGCCTTTAAAGAGAAGTCGAATTCCATGGCTTCCCTAGACATTGTCATTCATTTTCATTGCATTGAATGTCTCTATGTTACAGCTTATGCTTAGACTTTTATTCTATATGTTTTCTATCCTTTTTTGTTGCCTTTCATTTAGTTTTATTAATCTTCCCACCCAGTAGTAACATCATCTTCTTCATTTGTTTAATATTTTCCCAGGACCTACTGCAATTTCAAAAATCCCTTTATAAAATTGTTCCAGTGAAATTTTCAATATTTGTTCAATTTAGAGCAAAACTGTATCAACCATTAATCTATATCCAACATTGGACATGATGATAAATGTTAGATACCTCACACAATTTCCTAATAGGGGGAAATTTTATATTTTATATACTGAAATTGATTATTTAAACTCTCTTAAAGAAGAAAACAATTTGAAGTATGATTTGTAATCCTAATTAAATAATCAGAAAAATGAATGAAAATAAAAGAATATGTACTACTTGGTATTGCGTGCATTTGTATGGGTGTCTGCGTGAACTGATAAAATTCTAGACCATGTTCTGGAGGAAATTATTCAACTGGTTCATTTTATGAACTGACCATGGAGACATAAATATGCAAGAATGCTTTTAGAATTCATGTAATTGAACTGACCAGGAAACAAGGGTCTCATTTTGGTAACCCATGTTTTTGTAAATTTTCTATAGTTTATTATGGAAAATTCTCATATTTATTATAGTCACTTTTGGGTTATAAGTGACAGATAGTCTATTTTATACTTATTTTCCCTATAAGGTTTGAACTTTAGACAACATAGAAAAAAATAATGACGACAGGACTTGTTGATCTTCATTCTTAGAAACTGATGCTTTGATATGTGACGAGCAAGGAAGTGAACAGCTGAGAGAAGTGTTGTACATTTCAGTCAGTTTGTATATTTCACAGGCTGTTAGTCCCAATACTACGCATCAGAAGGGAGCTATTTCTTACGATGTGCCTCTTTCCAGAAAAACAAAATTTAAGTGGCCTCTTTAAAGAAAGAAGAAAATATTTAGTCCTAAATAATTCTTCAACAGCCTGTCTTTACTTCCTGTGAATTCTTCTGTTGCTTCTAATCAGCTTTTCATGGGCAACATATTCCTGTCAGGAAAATTAAGCCAAAGCAATACACAGAACACAACTGCCTAGCTCCACCACAGACTTGCTTCCCAGGTGATGGATTGAGCTTGTTTATTTCTTAAAACTCATCACCATCCTCTGAGCTAAAGCTACTTCTCCTACTGCTTGCTTTGGAAACTGCAGGTGAAGCAGCAGATAGCAGAGGATCTGTTCCAAATGGGGATATTGTGTTGTCCAGTAGTATGTCATCCAATCTTTGTTCCTCTTTCAAAGCGGCACTAAATGATAAATCTGTGAAGTGTGACAAAGGATCAGAGAAGGCCAGAGCTTGATCGCAGAGCTCAGGGCTTGGCCCCTGAGACAGAGTCAGTTGTTGGGAATAGTCTACTGAATTCTGCTCAGGATGGGTCTGCTGTTTGGTGACGTGGGCACCTAAATCAACAGTGCCAAGTGAAGTCACAGTTGGCAGACCATGAGCTCGAGCTTGTATTTCTAGTTCCTGCAATTTCAAACAAAACTCATTTAAGATGCCTTTGAAAGTGGAAATAATGCTAGCAAATAAACCAGAAACAAAACAAAAAATATTTACAAGCTTTTAAAGCAAAGGTTAATACAGTTACATGTGTTTTCCCGAAATAAATGAATGTGTGGCATTTCTGATACCTGAAAATTAACCCTGGAAAATTACTCAGATTTTTAAAAAATTCTGCTCTCATTGTTCTCTAAAGGAATTCATGTCACATTATAGTCCCATAGTGGTTCATACTACAATATAGCCATTTGGAAATAGTAGCAAATCTTCTATTTATTCTTTCTGATTAATTTCTCACCATAATTCAGGACCATTGCATGGACACAGAGTAAATGCTCTACCTGGCTACAAGCATGCTCACATTAAAGAGAGAGAATTATGAAAGCCCTTGTTAGGGTATTTGGGGGTCACATAAACAGTTGACATAATCTGATAATATAAGCTGGTACGATATGCCCTAAGGCAATGAAATCCACTGCCATGTTACTAAAAGAATGCAAGGGGGAGGGGAGAATTTAGTGTCTAATATTATCTAGAGAAACAAATGTTCTACTTGATTTTTTTTTTTTTGGTGAAATAACATTGTGTAGTTATGAAATGAGCTCTATTTTCTGAGTTTTGTGATTAGTCATTGTCATTCATTGTATGCATATTTTAGGTCATCTTGATCCTGGATTTCTAATCAAAACCTAATTGAAAGAAACCAGTTCATGAACTTCTAAAAGGCAATAAAATGATCTTTCAGAAGGAAAAATAACTGTTAATAAGAAAAAAGAATAAATGACACCAATGAATAAAACTGATGACAAGTGAGTCATGTGTTAGCTGCACAGCGCATGGCATCATTTTTATAAAAACCTGAATTCGGAGTAGAAGTCGCCTGTTAGCCTGCTCTAATTTCTTCTGTCTGTGTTCTAACTCCCGGGCTCTTTGTTGTTCTTTTTGTAGCCACTTGATGTACTCCACTGATGCTTTTAGGATGGTTCCTTTGTTCCAGCGCATATCACTGTAGAACGGAGAGATAACCTTTTCACAATTGTGCATGTCAGCAGAATTCATAAGAACTTACAAAATCTTTTACATTAATATGAAATAATGATTTACATGACTATTATTCACTCTTAGATATTATTGCTTCTGAATAGAAATTTTAATAGAATAGTTAAGAAGCCCTTATATAGTAAAATTAATCCCAGAATGAAAATAAGTGTCAAAAGAAAGTAATAAAGTGACTTTTTGTGGGAGAGCTAAATGCAATATCATGATTCTACCATTACAGTTTTTATATTTTTAGTGAAAATTGCTTTTATTATTAACTCTGAGATTAAAATCTATGTGCAGTATTTCTGCATTAATGAACTAGGAAATGTACATTACTGACGACTTAAGCCTAAATTTTTAAAGATCATTTCAAACGTACCAATCTTTTTTTAAAAAAAAAAAAATTGTTGTAAATGGACACAATACCTTTATTTTGTTTATTTATTTTTATGTGGTGCTGCAGATCGAACCCAGTGCCTCATAGATGTGAGGCAAGTGCTTTACTGCTGAGCCACAACCCCAGCCCCTCATATGTACCAATCTTTTAACCTACTTCCTAATAAGGCTGCTTTTGTTTTTAAGAAAAATAAATAAAGTCTCCCCTGAATGTGATCCTCAGGGATTGTGAAACACATCTGAGTTTAGCAACATCACAATGCAATAAGGCAAACTTTCTAAAACTGTTTGGCCAACTTTTCTTCCCAAACAATATCAAGCTTTTTTTTTTAAAAAAAAAAAGCTGGATACAGATAGCTATTTTAAAATAAATTTAAGATGAGTAATGTAGTTAAGCAATACTGCTATTGCATAGAAAATATTTTATTAAAACTTATTTTTAATATAGGAGAAATTTTAAATATAAAATTATAGGACATCATACTCATTTTATTATCTGAAAGCATATGTCCATAAATGCAATTCTGTATGAGAATAGATACTAATTATAATTACAAATAAGAATTTATTGCAAATAAGAATGAATTAATTGATAAACATCAATCAAAACGGCTAAAAATCCTTGACAAATTTTCAAATTAGAGGCATGAGATGTTTTGAATAGAGCATAAAGTAAGCATGTAAAGAAGTTTTATATTTTCTTACATAATGTTTTTGTTTAAATGCCCCTATTTTTGGTTTATGTGATCTATGTGAATTATATTGACCTTAATATGTATTTATTAAGAGTCAAAAGTGGGAAAATATAGTTTATGACAGATCTGATCAGAAGGTGTCTCATTGGGAGTCTAGATTAAGGGACAATGTCATTAGCAGTAATGAACTAATGGAAGTTCCATTTTTCTGTCATCAGGTGAGAATCATCTTCTATGAAATACAACAAACTGTTGTCTCTCAAGCTTGGAAATGATGCATCAATTTTCTAGGGGGACATTCTACTATAGCTATTGGGACCTTCTACTCACAGGGATTTATCTTGTGATGGGATGGATGTGAAGACAGGTTACTTTCAGCATTGTACTGAGAAAGTATCTAACTGAGAAAAGTAGCAGTCTCATGAACCAAAACCCCAAGCAATGGCAGGAGTCTATGGATTCTTAGTTTTGTATCATTTCTTCTCATGGGAAGACAAAATTAAAGAAGGAGGAATAAGAGGAATAAGATGAAAAATATAATGCTAACCAACTTTGAAATTTAAAGTATCGTTTAGTTAGACCTGAAATTTAACCTTCAAAATAGTGATGGGAACAACTAATGAGCCCTTCTTCAATTTGTACCTGATGTCATTTACTAAGTTTTCAAACATTTACTCTATCTAAAGCCATTTGAATGTATGATACATCTTTCTTTAAAATTTTAAAGTTGTTTTTGCATGTAAAAGGGATTTTTGTCTGTCTCTCCAAGATTTCAATCATCAGAAAATAAAAAATTTACTATAGTGCTCTATAAATATCAGAAAATAAAAAATTTACTATAGTACTCTATAAACAATAAACCTCCATAAAGACAGGACTAAAGAGAAAATGTTGATATTGATCTTTTAGTTTCTGTAAAATAGTTGTTTTTAAGAAAATACATTTTTTGGAGGGTGTCAAACTTGAAAGATATTAGGGTCAAATAAGGAAACACCAATGTATACATTGTGGTAGGGGTTGCCACCAGGCAAAAAATATGGAAATGTACAATTTACTGTTATCTTAGGCATGCACCTCACACATTATTAAATTATCCATGTTAATTAGAATATTTGGATTTAGGGAAGGAGTGTATTCAACTCTCACAAATACCATTTTATCAAAAATCATCAAATCTGGAAAAATGCCAGCTTTTGCGGAGGTCATTTTCAAATCATTATAAACTCTGGAAAGCATGTTTTTATATTTTTGTATAAACATTCAAAATTCTAACTCAACACTTCAGTTAATTATTTCTTGAGACTTGCAACCACAAACAATGTATTTGATTCTGTGTATTTGCCAAAAAAACCTGGTCGCCATCAATCAACAGGTTTTTACAACTCCATTTTTTACTTTGGGGTCTCCACAAATTGGAGACCTCTGAAGAATCTGACGATTACATTATTAGGTACACATAAATCTTAAGTTGTAAAAGATGCTATAACCATAAACTGAGTATCCCAGTCAGCATCATAAATAGCTCTTCATACCACTAAAACTGCCAGTATTGTTATACTAGAGACCTAATATGAACTGAGGAAAAATAATTAACTTATTTCCTATGATCAGAAGGGCAACTCTGGGAACAGATTAGATGCTTAATAGTGACCACTCTGGTCTAGATATATTACAATGGGGGCACAGCAATAGCCTTAGCTTTGCTTATTTTCCTAATCATTGCTTCTTTCCTCCCTTATCCCCTCCCACCCATTTTGGGGGGCATTGAAACCATATCATTATTATAGAAATGATTTTAAACTCACGGATCATTAGACTTTGGAATAAGTGTGCCAAGCTCCTTGATTCGGTAATTAATATTATACCTTCTTCTTCTTTCAACTATTAAAGAAGAAATATTATTGATTATTCTCATTAAAACACAGTTCATTTTTGGTCAGCTGTAAACTTTCTTAATAATCTTTTAAAAACAGTGGCAAAAACATTCAATTAAGAGATCGCACTTCTCAATAATAAGAATTCAAATGAATCTTATTCTAAGTTACATTATTAGAATTGAATATATGATTTACAATATTTTAAAAACATTTTGTCTTAAAACAGTATTTTCCATTGTTATAATATTTACTCACACACACATGTCTTTGTTATTTTACATGCACATATTTTGTCAGTTCATCAAGGTTGTGATCTTTTGAAGTCGTGGACCACACTTGATTCTTCCTGTCTATTCTCAATGTGTAACACATGATTGGTGTGTGCTCAGCTAACCAAGACTATCTTGAGGAAAGGGTCATATCTTCCTTATTTTTGTATCACTAGAGAACTTTACCTATGTAGGAAGAGCTAAATAAATGTATATTGATTAGACTATCAATTAATATTCCATTCAAAGTTTTTAATAACATATAGAAAATTTTTTTTTCAAATTTTGACATGCATCAGATATACCTGGAGGAATTTTAAAATAGATTTTTACACCATATTCAGAGATTCTGCTTTTACTAGATCTGGAATAGAGTCCAAGATATCCATTTCTGATGAGTCCTCAGGTGATAATGATTAGTCAGTAGAAGGTTCATAATTTGAGAACTACTGATATAGGCTCTTTTTCTGGGGTAGGTGGGGGGTGGGAGGGTAGGTACCAGAGATTGAACTTGGGGTTCAATAATTACTTATGGCAATTTTGTTTCTATGCTGATTCAAAAATTCCAGGCATATAATGAGCTTCCTATATTGATTATGAGCAGTCACTCTATATTCTTATTATCAAAAACCATTGCAATTACTTACATATAATACTTTTGCAATAGCTAACATATTTAAAGCATTCAGGTATACAAAGATAGAAAAAGGCCAAGAAGAAGAGAAATATGTTTCAAAAATGTTGAAAACTACTTAAAGAAAAGTAAAATATATACCTGAAAAGGAAAATCACAACTGGAAATAATGAAAGTCATCAAAGAACATACATTGTTTGGTGAACCTATTCCATGAAGCAAATTACTATGAATGGATTTAATCTTCGGGTCGAGAACCTTGAATTTCTTTCTAAAATTAGAATATAACTAATCCTTAAAAGAGTTTATTTTCCCCTTGTACCAATCCTGTTTCTTCTGTGCACGTGATTCAAAACCCAGCAATGATAGCACATAAAAACCCTGAAGACAAAATAAAGAAAGGTAAAACTGATAGGAATACATGTTTATTTTACAGTGAGAATTTGTTAGTAATTCTATTTTCACATCCTTATATTTTAAATTAGAGTTTTAAATATGCTACTATTCTCTAGTATTATTAGATTGCATGTATCAATTTTTAAATGGCTAATTATATATTTGGCTTCTCGATGCTGTTCATTTGTAAAAGAGTCATGTTTTAAGAAAATACTAAATTATTATATGCTTTGTGGTTTTTACTCTTCATGTTTTTGACATAGTCGCTCAATCCTCTCTCCAGATGCAGACAAAAGAGACAACTCCTCCAATACATACTTACAAGACACACTCATTCCTGCTCTGGTTATACCTGTCCCCACTAAGCAAGGCAGCCACAAGCCCAAGGGAATCCTTTTAAACTAGTTCTTCTAATTTGCACCAGAAATTTCCTCTCCATTTCCCTGACCCACATCCAAGCCTGGGTCTGACCTCTTGGCACATGGCACCTGTGTACTGACCCTCAGATACAAGACATGGCCAAAATATTTAGGGGTGTGTAAAGAGCTTGAATGTACAAGGTGGGTGTATACACATATGTTTGAGGCCATTTGCAGCACACAATGGAATAGAGGGTGGGAAAAGAATTGAAATGAGCTTCAAGCTGAAGGCTGGCACGCCCTGCCCTGATATTCCCACACCAGACTCTAACAACCTGAAAATTCCAAAATCACTCCTGATCTTCTAGGAAACACATTTAATTTAGCACTTTCTAGCTTGATTTATTCTTTTTATGTATCTAGAACTCTGGTAAATTGGACCTCTGTGCTTTTGCCACGACCCCATTGGTTTTATAGTTTTTAAAAGTTGATCTAGATCCATTATACTCAACATACATGGTATTAATTTTTTAACATTGATTTTTTCCCTTGAAAGCAAGATGAATTAGCAAGAGAGTTCAGATCAGAGAACACTTTGATAAGGCACATACCAGATAACTACCATACTCTATATTAAATGACCCGCCACATAAGCTGCAGACATACAGGAGATAAAGGGAAAGGCAAGGAGAATAATCATTCACAGGTTTACTAACGAAAAAAAAAAAAAAACATAGTTCCTCAATGTACTCATTTATTCCACAGCCATTAGCTCTCCCTACTCATACTCACCTTGTCCCTCTCCTACTGAGGGCTTTGGGAGTTAGATCAGTTCCCTGAGGACTGCTGTAACCTTAACCGTATGTTAGCTCCTTCCTTTCAGACTCACCCAACTGTCATCACCTTGGGATGCAAGTGCATTATGCACAGATGTAGGTCTCATAGATAGGTGGAAAATCAATTTCAACTAATTGCATGTAAAGAAATTACATTGTAAGTCTTTACAGTTTTATTTACTTTTGTGCAGTTTTACTTTTTTCTCAGTTTTTGATTTGGCTTCACACCCGATTGATCAAGTTCACTTGAGATAGTTAAGCACTTAAGACACGACCAAGCACTCTAAAGCCCAGCCTTACTGCTAATCTCCTTCTTTTGCCTGTATTTCTCCATCTCATGTGACTCGTTATCAGAGTCAAATTGACCCTGAGGAAGGCATGAAAGCTCTTTTTTTCCCAGAGGTGGAATTCAGCATTACCACATAAGCAATGCCTTTCAGATAACATATCATTAGGAAGGAAGGAGCAAATTGACACAGAAAAATGAGAACCTGAACTTGTGCTTCTGATATTTAAATGGTTTACACTTTCTAAAGTCATTTTCTCTCTTTTTAAATCTTTGAATCAATGAGTCACAGCACAGTGCCAATGTAACCAAATGCATTCATTTGAGGCACAGGCAGCCTCCTTAAGAATGAATGATCAAGGAGAGAATTCAGAATGTTTCACTTTTTGAAAATCTGCACCTTTTTTCTTTGAGAGTTCACATGGTTCCCCTTTCCCAAAATAGCTCATCTGTGACTGTGTAATTTTGCTCATCTGACTTTGGGTACTTATGGAGTGATAATGAATAACCATACACTTTAATCTCCATGCACTTCCTTTTGAACTAATTTTCTTTGGAAAGAAAGAAAAACATACTCACTCAGGTTGTGATTGTCCTTTTTTTGTCTTTCCTTTGCCAAAGCTCTAGTGTCAGTTTCTGATCAAAAGAAAAATAATTAAAACAGTTCTTGGTTATACCTCAAAACTTTTCTAGGCAACATAATTCAGAAATATTAAATGAAAAAACAATACTGCTTCCTCCAAAATGGTTGTATAGCCTGGATTTGTTTTCTGGCTCTCCATTTAATAGCCATCTGATTGATTACCAGACTTCTCTTTGTCTCAGGTACCTCAACTGTAAAATGAATACAATCGTAATACCTACCTGAAAATCACTGTGATGATTATGAAAACGATGCAGCACAGAGACTATATTAAACTATTCAATCACTGCTGTTCCTACCTATTATTTTCCAAATTTTGAAACTCAAAAAGAAATTATTCCAATCTTAATTCTTCATAAATAAATGTGATTTTGTACACCCCAAGTGTTGGAACTGACTACATTTCTCTGGTATCTATATTGAACTCCACACTTTCTTCCAGTAAATGACCCTACCCTCCATGTGCTATGTGATTGTGATCATGGCCATCAGCCTTCAAGATGGCCCTTGATGATTCTCACTTCCTAGTATTCACACTCTTGATGATTCTCTCCAGTATGGAATGGGGTTGACCTGTGAAACCAATAGAATGTTGTGGAAATGTTTACTGTGGCTTCCAAGACATGTTTTAGCTTTTATTTTTGTACCCCTTGGATTACCAGTTTTCATGTCATGAGGACACACAAGCAACCCATGGAGAGAAAGATTCACACAGTTATCAACCAAGACTGATTGTCAACAAACAGCATTAAAATGTAAGAGCCATGAATGAGCTGCCTTGGCAGTGCCTCTTCCAACCCAAGTCAAGGGTCAGATTGTGGAGCTCTGACTGACATCTGGATTATAGCTTCATAATCGACTCTGATTCAGCACCAATTTTCTAAGCTTCTTCTGGTGTCCCAATCCTCATAGAATGTATAAGGTCACAAATGTTTACATCAAGCTGCTAAACTGGGGATTTAACTTGTTATTATATAACAGCAGAAAATTAGAAAGTGTCTTAGAATTATTATAATATTAAAGTAGGTAATAAAGTAATACATTCTCTTTAAATCATTTAAAACTATGGTCATTAATTATAATCTAAATAATTTAAATGCTTAAACATGCCTGAGTTATTAAGCTCTAAGACCATCCATTTTGTATTTACTTAAAATGTTAGTATTAACTATGTAAAATTACTGTAGACCAGTTTTGAGCTCTAAATGTATAAAAAAAATTGTTATAAAAATTTCAAATACATTTTATATTTATTACTGTAAGAAATCTGACATTGGATTTGTAAGTCAAGAAATCCTTACATTGAACTACTTTTGCTTCTTACCAGATATATAACTTTGGGAAAATAACCCCTCGATCCTTATGCTGTGTCTACGTATCATGAAGAATTTGATTCTGTCCTTTATCTCTTCTGAGTTGTAACAGTTTTTAAATGAACTAGAGAAAATTTAGGGTTTTTTTTTTCCTAATTGAGATAGTTAAATGCAAATCTTTCATGAAATCCATAAAACAAGTTAAAACAGAAAAAAATAACAAATTAAGCTTTTGTCTTATATCCAATTCTACTCACAAAAAAGAATTTCCCTAATTTTATATGTCATTTTGCAACCATGTTAATAAATTCCATCTATTCAATAGCAAAATGAGTCCATGTTAAATGAAGGATGTGGGGTGTGTGTGTGTGTGTGTGTGTGTGTGTGTACAAATAATAAACACATATATACAATTACTAATTAATCAATTCAGTTAAACTGTGAATTAAATTAACTTACAATGTAGGTACTGTAAAACTGATTAATTTAGTCTTATTTGCTTCCTGTTTAGCTAAATATCTTGATATTCTTTAGAAATTCTATTTAATATGATCAAGCATGTCTCTCATATTTGTTACAGCTAATAAAAATTAAACAGAATAAAAATATAAAAGTAACATTACCTGTAATTTCTCTTTTCATTGGTAAACCACTTGGACAGGAAGCACTTGTAAGCCCCATATTAACTGGTGAAATCCCGGGCTCGCCACTATAGACATCCAAAATATTTCCAGATAACTTTAGAGGAATAAGAAAAAGATCAATCAATCAAACACCTCTGTGCACATGGATACATTTAGTTAGTTGTAGACTTTAAAAAATCTTTATTTTAAATTTGTTGGTTTGATAATTATAATAATAATGGGAATATATAGTGTTTTAATTTTAAATAAGAGGGTGAGTATGCATTAACTATGTTTAAATACATTATGAAATGCTTGTGGATAACAAAGACATGCTGAAAAAATCTATTTATACTTAAACAAAAAAAGTAATCAGTTCATGCATGAAGGAAAATTCTGATTAATATTTACAAAGCTATGGAAGTTTAAGCCAGCATAAGATGTGGTTATAAATGAATACAATTAAAATTATCATTTTGGACAAAAATCAATACACATCTTAGCAAAATTGGAAAGTTCCTTCTGCACCACAAATTAGGTATAATGGTTGAATATCTGCGAGGCTTCTGAATGCCATCAATGCTACCAGAAACTCACAGTCAAGAGGCATTTTACACTGCTAATTAAGTGAGAAACTCTCCTTCCTGGAAGACATACATTTTCTCATTGTACACTTAATGTTCTAGATTATTATAAATATGCCAGTTGGTAACCAAAAGTACTCTAAAACTATTTCTGCCTCTAGTGAATATAGAGTACATCCAATTATAGCAACACTGCCATTCATGAAGTGCTTCTTAAGAACATATTTTTAGAAAAGCTAAGGCCTTTTATACACAATTCAAAACTGTACCAATTCATTATTTAAAACATGCTTATGGACTTGATCTTCCAAGAAAATTAAATTTAAACAATATTCATATTCCAAGTGGATACTATTACTCCACAACAAGCTACATTTACAATGTAAGATCTTAAATTTTAAAATATCTCCATTCTAAAGGTTTTCATTCCACTTCTAGGCAATTAACCAAAAGCTAAGAATCAACATTTTTTTCCTTTCCTAAAGGACTAAGAACAATACATACAATCAAACATGTCTTTAACAAGATTATTGTGGAAAATCTAACTCCACCTTCCCACTTTTTGTAAAACTACAATTCAACCCAAGAGAACTATTTGATAACTTATAAAATCAGACTGGAAATAAATACAAACAAAATATATATTAAGACCAAAATTTGTTTCTAAGGTAATACACCACTATAGTATATGTAACAAATGTTGTATATTTCTAAGGAAAAAGAACTTTGAAAACATCGTTGAAATTACTTAAATGCAAAAAAATTTTTTTCCTTTTCATTGAGGCCCTTTTTTTCTTGCTTTTATTCTTCTTTATTTCCTTCTTCTGTTTTGTTTTGTTGGTGATACTGGGTATTGAACTCAGGGCTTCACAAATGACAGACAAAAATTTCTACCACTGAACTATGTCCCCAGTCTTTTAAAATAATGTTTTATTTTGAGTTAAGGTCTTGCTAATGTGCCCTGCTTGACCTTGAATTCATAATTCTCTTGCCTCAACTTCCCAGGTAGTTGTGATCATAGGATATGCTACCTTATAACTGATTCTATTAGACTTCATCACCTTTGTTTTATACACACTTGGTGTTTCAGAATGTGTTTTTATTTATGGAAATTGGAAAGGAACTCTTAAAGTCAAGTATCTATTCCTTCTCAATTTCCTCATGTGCAAAATGAGGACAAAGTTGACCAAATTGGAAAAATGTATCAGATAAATACAATTAGAAGTATCTGATAAAATACATTTAGATGGGAGAAAAAAATCAAAGCTTTCCCTATGTTGTATGTCATTTAGTCACAGTTTTAAAAGTACAACATTCCAAGATTATTTTTGAAAATTGTGTTGGCTATGAGATAAGGAATCACCAACCTGAGTTGTACATTTCTACTGTGCTTTGGAGAATCATAATGGACACATTGAACAAAAGGATAGAGAGTGAGGGGGAAGGAACTAGGGAAAGAGTGCTTTTCTCTGAAGAGCTTGAATTGAAATGGATGTCAATACTGAAGTGGCAAATTGCAGAGATGTTAGAGAAGAGAAAGAGCTATCCTATGTACACACTGTAACAATAAAGTCAGAGGTTCCTAACTATAGCACTTCATGGGTTCATATTACCTGGTTAGACAGTAGCCAATGAATTTTGTTCTTTAGAAATGGGGCTGGAATTCTGATAATGAATCTAATCCTGCTTAACTATAGCTATGCTACATCTTCTCTTGACCTTGGTTATTGTCTAATTTATGCCCTAAAGCATGATGATTAATAACCTATTTAATTTTATGCTGTAGGTACTATTCTATTTCATGTAAATGGCTAATCACTTTTTGAATATCATTACACTATTGGATTTCAATTTCCAAGCATGTAATACACTTTGGTAATCTAAAGTGCCTTTTCTCTATTAAAAGATGTAAGAGTACAATGTTAGTGGAAATTTAACAATTATATGTACATCTAGAAGAGCTTATGAAGCAAATTTATATCTACAGTTATCAAGGGTGTAAGTTACTTAGGCAATAGGTCTAAATTTTAACTTCATTTTAAAGATCATTAGGCAATGGGATAGATATTTCATGAAGAAATACTTACTTTGATTAAAAAAAACAGATTACTTTTTCAGTAAAGCAAACCTTTGGCATGGCAATAGATGAACATTTTTATTAACAACAAATACCGTTTAAAGACATTAAATAAGAAATTTGCTATAGAATCTATTCAACAAGGTGGAACACATTTTTCTATAAGACAATATTTCTCTCTGATAGAAAAAATGTGAACTTCTGATCTGAGAAGTTACTCTGAGGTGATGAGTGATTAACAGTGATTTCCTGGTATCTAGATTGCATTCACATCTCCATTATTGAAACCATAAGAATTGAAATATACTGGGTCTGACCTTTCTGCATACATACTTTCATTAACAATAACAAGTAGTTCCTAAAGAAAATAAATTCATAGGCAAAACTGCAAAACACCTAGCAAAGTGTTTTGTTATAAACTAAAATAATATGCAGTATAAATATCATGAAAAGAAAAAAAAGTAAAGCAAATGAAATCAAACTTCTTAAATTAGCCTAAAACAAATAAGAGAAGGAATTTGTAATAGTTTACAATAGAAAATAATAATGAGAAAATGTAGTAATGACCAATGAGACCAATAAGAACCAAGAGCAGAAATAGGAAATATGAAAAAATATATTACTTAGGGAATAAACCATGCAAAATAATAACAAGAAAAGCATGTCTTAATGTATTCATAGGGAAAGGAATAAAATAACTAATAAAGTATAAGATCAGATTAAAGTAACATGAGAGGAGAGTGAAGGAAAAGACCAACAAACAGGACATATAAAAGTAAAGTTGAACAATATGGAGGATGAATTTATTAAAATCAAAACACGGATGATAATAATCTTAGAAAGGGAAAAGATAAAGTGAAAAAGTGAAATGTAAGAAATAATGGAGATAAATTTCAAAGAATTATTTCTAAGTAAAAAAACTTCAATTTTTTATTATTTTATTTTGTTGTTATTTTATTTTTATTTAAAAATTAAAGTGTCTATATGATGCTAACAAACCAAGATAGTAGGAAAACTGTATATCCAGACATAGCATATTGAAATTGAAGAGTAAAGAGAAAAATCTAAAAGTCTAAAGAAAGGGAAAAAAAGTTATTTGTGAGGAATCTGGAATCAGACTAACAAAATTTTTCAATAACAAAATTAAATGGAAAGATAAAATAAATCAATATTTTTAGAAATTGAAAGAAAAAAAAACACAATTGTTTATCAGCTCAAATGTTATTCACATATAAAGCCATGATAAAAATATTCTTAAGCATACAGTGTGAAATAAATAAAATGTTTAAGAAGATTTATTCCCACAAAGACTAAAACTGAAAAGAGTTTGGATGAAATATATCTAAATGAGAAGAGAGATTAAAGGGTAGACTTTAAAAAAATAAAATAAAATTGATCAAATATCATGATACATTTAACATGATTTTAAAAAAAGTAGCAATGAGGGACAAAAACAAAGATAAAGTGAAATATAACCTTATAACTTGGTATGATATTATGGATAATTTCCGTATCAGTGGATTAAACTAACATGGAAACAAAAGACATGAAAGTGATAAGAAAGTATCAAAGATAAATATATTAAATATGAAACACAAATAACAAAGTGGGAGAAGCAGGTGGAATATAATCAATAAATAATAATCAATGTAAATAGGTCAAACAGCTGGCTGAAGGGTTAACATAGTGAATAAGAAGATAGGAACTAAATGTAAATAGCTTACAAGATACAAATATGCCTAGTGAAAGGATATACAAAGCTTGGGAATGAAATAATTAAATCCAATATACCCACAGATAAAAACTATAGGAAAATTTATATTAAATAAAATTATATTAATATTAGAGAAAAATGGAAAAAGTGGAATAGTTTAGCAATAGTTTGAAAAGTCTAGCAGACAAAAATAATTAGTAATGCTATAGAAAACTTGACAAATAAAAGTAAATGCACGGCCTGATGCATTTATATGGATATCTATGTATATCCATATAAATCATGATATATATATATATATATATAAATGAATATATATATATATATATCCATATAAATGCATCATCTGATATACACATATATATACACACACATATATATTTTTGATATATAGCTATATATCAAAATATATATATATATTCTTGAATATACAACTATCCATATGTAAAACTATATACGTGTAGTTGTATATACAAGAATACAAAATACATAGCTTTATAAAGTACATATGAAATGTTTGAAAAGCGATATGTACTCAGTCAAAAGAAATGCTCAACATAATTAATAAAACACTGGATTACAAAATATTGGCAAATTTTTAAAAGTTGTCAGACAACTCAAGAATAAAGATAAAATCACACTGAAATTGAAAAACCACATAAAGAAATGTCTGGAATATGACAAAACAATTTTTAAGGAAAGTGTGTATTCAAATAATAATATAAAAATAGATTAATTTT